AGAGAGAGAGAGAGAGAGAGAGAGAGAGAGAGAGAGAGAGAGAGAGAGAGAGAGAGAGACGCACGTACCAGGTCAGTCGTGCTGCGACTTGGTGGGAGACATGTACCCCTCTCTCAGCCAGTTTGATAATACAGGTGTGTTTTTTGTGGATGGGTGTGCCGGTGTGTGTCACATTTCTAAACAAAATAAGACACCCCCCCTCCCACCCACCTCCTCTAGAAACGGGCTTTTGGCTTGGGAATATGCAGGGCAGATCATTTGGAAGAATCTTAAGTTGTTCGGTTGTTGTAGGTTTTGAGAACATTCTCTAATTTCGTACTAGAAAAATCTACCTGGAATAATAATAATAATACAGTGCAGGAGTATATTCCGAACTTCAAGAACACCGTGAACTATTCTCTACGCCGCAGATTAACTGATTTAACCTTTGCCTACGAGCTGATAAGGCGCAGTTGAAATATTGTCTCTGATTAAAAAGGATTCAACGTCGTACTGTGTTCAATTTGACGCGAAACGTTTTGTGATTCATGAAGGGAAGCTTATATCTTTTTGTTATACTTATATTCGAGAGTTGGGTGTCAATATTCAATTTATGTGACGCTCCACGAAAAATGTAAAGTCACTTTCATCACGTTACACACAAACAAACATACAAAAAAACGTTGCGTTCTTTTGCTGCGGAAGATGTAAGGCGTAGCGTGACTTTACTTCAATCTTTAAAACGATTACACATTTTTTCCGTAGGAGCTTAGCCTGTCACCTGTCAGAATCTTTTGAAATGGAACAGTTGAAATTTGTATTTATGGAGTCAGTTTTCGAAAATAAGGATACCGCTAACAGCCTACATCTGCAGCGGATTGGTCTACGAGTGGATACCAAATTATGATACAACGGGAAACCATATGATACCAGGGGATACTTCAGGATTCAAGACGAGCCCTGTAAAGATGAAGCTAGGTAAGGACCTGCCTGTTGGCACAGACCTTATCGTACTTTCTTATACTATCTGAGCGTCTAGCACAGACCTATCGTTTCTTCTCTACTTGGGGGTTGTCCAGTTTGTCACAGGCCCAGTTTGTCACAGGCCCAGTTTGTCACAGGCCCAGTTTGTCACAATTTCATTTAAATATTTGAGTATTGATGACGGTCATAATTATAGCACTTTAACACTGCAGTTTTAACTTAAGTTGCTTTTTTTTATTCTCCACCTTCAAATTGGTCAATTAAGCTTGTGTTCTTCAATATTTCTTCCTTTTTGTATGCAAATCAAAGCAAACTACTTTGTAAAATTTCAACAATGCATGTTCTTTCGTTAAAAACAATTGAAAAATAGAATTCAATTCATACAATCAATCAATCATTCTTTTACTCTTTTTGAGAGTGTCAGTGATAACTTCCATCATGCAGGGCACAGTCGAGATCTGTGACAAAACTGGGGTTGTGACAAACTGGCATGCTTCCCTCTACTTCTGTCCGTTTCCTTGAGGAAGAGAGATGCTTGTTTTGTATATTGTGTAGGCTACTCGGGACATGGATGGCTGGTGCCTCTATAAATAAATTATTATTGATGGTCAAGGTGTAGGCTACTTTAGTAAAAGTTCATCGCCCTCCTGGACCAGTGCAGTGGTTGGCGGGTGCTCTTGTGTGATTTGCTTCTTGTTTCCAATCAAATAAGTATGTATCGTCCTTATCTCTCCTCTTTCTTTTTTGTGCGTTTGTTACTCGTTTGTAACACCTCGTCCTAATCTTCGGCACTTATATGACCTAATTGTGTTGTAAGTGCCGCAAAACTTATTAAAACTTAAACTAAAGTGCTGGACCATTGCACTCCAGCCTGAGCGACATTGCCCTATAGAGGGTGATTTGGTGATTCTTGAGTCTCTATGGTAATTATATAATAATA